TTTTTTTTTTTTTCCTCATGTCTTTTTTCCGTTTCCTATGAAATGCTGCTGTCCACCACTGTTCAATCAGCTTAAAATGAAATGCATCCTTTTGGTTGTGTTTGAGTTGAAATTCAGGGGATGATAATGATCTCCGGGTTTATTTAATCTTTTAATGGTGGGGCTTAGATTCAGGCCTTTCCTCATGTGACATTTTAATATTTTTTAGTTTGATGCAAGTGCCCAGTGTCATGTGACACCCTGTCCAGCAGATCCAGAAAACTCCTGTCGCATCCACATATTGCATCCATGCTTACCTCATAAAAACGAGGTACAAGTCAGGGCAAAATTTCTTCCAAAATAAATGTCATATATATATATATATATATATATGTATATATATATACACACACACATACATATATGTAGCAATCATATATACACATTCGTACATACATATACTAATTTATGTGATGCAAAGAAAAAAAATGTACACATTTCTTACAAAATTGTAACAAAGACTGGAAAGAGTTCCGTTTGCTCTGGAGCAAAGTCGTGTAGATGTTCAGCCTCTGAGGACTTCTCCATCAAAGTAGTCTCCTACATTTGTGTCCATGTTTGGGCAGCACAGACGTCACAGAGAGAGACGAAGAAACTGTATGTGACAGAAAAGGTTTGGTGACGCAAAAACAGGGTGGAAGGATGAATGGAAATTGAAAGGAGGGAGGCTAAAAAGGTGAAATGTATAGATGTGGGAGAATTGCATGAGCTCGCTGACTCAAAACATCAACAACAACAAAAAAAAGCAAATAACAATAGAAAAGAGGGGGAGAAATTATCAGGGAGTGTTCACATAAAAAAAAGCACAAACAAATTTTGTGTTCTTTTATTACTAAATATAGTGCAACAATAAACATTGCATTTCTTTCACCCTTTAACTTGCTTCCTAGGATGTCAACGTTTCTTTTCCCCGTCTTTAATTCAGTTAACACTTGGTATAAATACAAAGAATAACCTTTGTTCTGTCACTGCCCTGTGCCACAAGGTCAGTCCTCCTTTCAGAGAAAAAACAGGCTTCAGATTCAGAGACGTAAACATAACACAGACCCTGCTCAAAACAAGAGAGGAGGAAAAAAAACAAAAAAACAAAAAACAGGAGGAACATGAAGAATAAAAACAAAACATTCGTTGGTGTTTTGGGGCAGCTTGTAAATTTGAAAATGCAGGGCAGTTTTAATGGTGATGACCCCTACAGTCAAAGAGCCAAATCCTCGAGGAATAAAAAACCAAGCTGTGTGGACCTCCTCGTCCCTCCTGGACAACGGTGTCGTGTACAGGAACAGCTGCGGCCTTTGGACTGGTTGGGCCTTAGAAGGCCTGCTGGGCTGGGTTGTAGTTGAATGTTGTTGGCACG